ACGTCCTACAAATAGGATGCCAGCACAGCAACACGACACAACTCAACAGAGCTTCGCACGTCGCCCAGCTCGGAGCAGAGCCGCTCAGGATTTTTACGGCGTTTCACTCACAGATATCCAGGACTACGTGCGGCTGTTACAACAGCGAATAAGACACGAAACCTGCATTCGGATTTACAACAGGATTTATCAAACTGTACCTGCAAAACGATAAGTCCCTTGTTTGCATATATATCTATTGTAATAATTTTACTCAACAAGCGGACATTGTTAGTGCTCCCCGGTTTCTCGTTCGTATAACTAGTTTTCGGGTTCCGTTAGAGCATTAACATCGGCAGTGAAGTTGGAGACAGTGTCAACAATTCCGCCATTTAGCAACAAGCAAGAAGGGTCTCTTGTTCAACAAAATCACCTGCACGCTCCTCTGGATCCTAGTACGCGTCAAAGACAAGTGAATCATGAGCACTTGGGAATAACACGACAGATATCGCCCATGCAATATATTTTTTTTTCTTGTTGATACCCAAAGAGCTAGACTACGTTCTGCTAACAGACTAAAGTCTAACATTTATGACTATTGCTTCCACAGAACAACAAAATAAAAAAGCCAATGGTACCCTTCCGTTTGTTAACAACCGAGTTGTTACATTTCGCGATTTGCATAATCACTGTTTTGCTCGGTTCCTCACTTAACCTTGTCAAGAGCACTGTGCTTCCTTGCAATTGAGGATCGATGATTATTACCTGGCAGACCACTATGCATCCACATCGGCAAGCGTTGACCATCATATGCTATCGAGGGTATTGAAATAAGTGCAATTCATGCTGAGTTTGTAGTATTTTTTCGATCTATATGAACGTGTTTTTCAAAACTCGGTGTTTGGAAATCGCCCCTCCCTTCACATCACTTGCAGATCCTATGCGACAATGACCACTTGCACTTTGTTCTCGCCGAGTTATCTGACTGATATCCCAAAGTCCCACGTAGCTCCCAGTGGCACAGAAACAACAACAACAACAACCAGACTATCACAGTTTGGGAGTTAACTGATTCAAAAATAAGAGGTGGTGCCTAGACTAGTAGCGGACTAAGGCTACTCCCAACAGGGTATATTAAAGCATACCTGGAGACCACTTTTCTATTCACGACGAGTAAAGTGTCTCATATTTTGACTCACAGGGGAATTATAGGTCACTATTTATTTAGAATTGTAGGGAATCTAGCGTGAGCAAGTGTGATGCACTGAGTGAAAAACGGAGGCCTTCCGATGAGACAGTGTCATGAAGGTTCTCGGAAGGTTAGTTCAAATGGAAACCATAGAATCACGATTGTTGTTGTTCTACACTTCGGCTACAGCCTTTGGTTAAAAAATGGCTTTCAGAAAGGAGCGGTGATGTTCTTCTGAGCGCGGAAAGCTCAATGTGAAGTACATACGTCTACCCTCTAAAAGGCCCAATATATACCTTGCATCCGAGTGCTTGCCATCTAAAGTTAATTCAGTAACTTTTCTGCTGTAGTCATTTGAAATTTTTCTGCGGCTCATGTTTACAGTCGAGCACGGGTGATTGTGACTGTGTGTATAGCCCGCTTCCTTACGTATTACTTACGTATTACGTACGTACGTAATACGTACTACTAGAACGAAATATCTTATCCTTTTATCCAATAAGAGGGCGTATTCACTTGAAGCAATCACCGTTACCAACCCTATCTTGTCTCCAATCGCTGGCTGTGATGGCATTCTTCTTTAGTTCCAGTGTCTGATGTGCACTTTATCGGCATATTTTTCTAGAGTTAATCTACAATGTACTTTACGAAACCCGCTCGACAAAACTATCGTGTTTGTGCCACTTACCGTTTCCAGTCTATTGAGGGAATTATTTCTAATGAAAAATCAATTAAGTGGCCGTCTTTGTTGCCGTATTACTTATGTTATCAAGCTACCATGCTGCTAACAAGAAGTACTTATTTTCTTGAAGTAACCCACCGCTCATAAAGGTTTCTGAAAACCCTTCGATAGTCTATTACTAGTTCGGCCCTTCTAGGAACTCGCAATATAGGCGCAGCCCCCCTGAGTTCTCATCAACATTACGTTCTACTTGAATAATGCAATATATAATAATATAATGTGACGAGAGATTTGGTTGAGTTACCCATTAATAGCAGAGTAATTTACAAGGAAGTGTATTTCGCCCCAAACTGTACTTATCTCATAAAAAGTATTTGTCGGCACTGGAAAGATATTTGTGAATTGAACTTATATACTTTCTGGATAAGCTGAGTTGTTATAGTATCGGTTGCACTTTAGCCAACCTTTATTACGTTGGTAGAGTTATTAAACGCAGTACGACTTGTGTCTGGATGACTTGCGGTCATCCAGAGGCATCGTGCTTTTCATTTTACTTAAAATTTTGGCCCTTCATCATACATCCTTAAGACCTATTCATGGGTTTTCCTAATTAGCTTTCAAAACGATTTGGTTGTTCTCCGCTTTAGTTCAAACAGAGCTTATAGTCTATCCATACGATCTGGAAATCGTATGAAGTTCCGCGTTCGCTTGTTACAAGATGGCTGTATAAGATAGCAAGCACCAGAGACGTACCATGTTTTAGCTTCAGCTGGAGTGTCTTGGCAAATTGATGTCCATGAATGAGATCCTAAAGGACTTCAAGAGGTCGAAGTTGCAGCGTAACCTGAGCCAGTGACTACAAAAAGACCTGTTTGCGCACGTTCGTAGGAGCTCTAAACACAATAACTTGAGTCATTCCCTAGTGATACTGAGGTGTCTACCACCCAGGCCGTAGGAAGCCCCAGTTTGCTCAAGTCTGTTTACATGCCCTCAAGAACTTGAGCTTGAAGTCAAAAGCTTCCATTTCAAACTTCTCATTTTGCTCTGTGCTAGTGTCGATGATCTACACATTACGTCGTATCTGATTCTAGACAAACCACTTTCAAACAGTTGTCGTTACAACAAATTTTCATCATTAAATTTATTCCGAATACAGGTTGTCTGTGTGCTGATACCGTACTCTTGGTGCCTTCACGCAGGACTGGGGCTTGCCAACCAAACTCGCTTCGACCACTAACGATCCAACTACTAGGGACGATAAATTCCCTCAACCTATACAATGGCGTATGGCAGCACATGTGGACTGTTTGAAAACGGGCACTTTCTCCGCTCAGAAGCACAAAGAACACCACTTCCTGTGTAACGCGTCCACATCACTGGAAAGATGTTAGCCAGCTAAAGTCACGTTATCAGAACACTATGAATCCAGTCATGTCGAACTTGAGATAATTTGGCTGAGTTTATTCAGTCAATGAATCATGATTGTATTCTTCTGAAGAGACCACCTAATGAAGGGAACAACAGGTGGTGACATTTGAGATGAATAACCAGTTAATGGTAGAGGCAGCTGTGGGACACACCCTTTGCTTTGAACGTCAGACAACCGTTACTCAACCCTAGATGCGGGATATATGATTTTCAACCTGTGAAGTACATTCAGCGGCAAACGGCCGTATCTTGTTTACCTAGTGGGTCCAAAGAGCATAAATCAGGTCAACTACAACATGAAGGTGTAATGACAAAGAAAGTAAAGCATTGTGTGGGGGGTTTTCGGCACACTATGGCAACGAATCGCGTGGTCCTAATGTGTGTTGTGTTGGGTCGGTTGGAAAATAATAACTCCTGATGGGATACGGAATCACAACAGCTACTGGGCTTGTTGCTAGGCCTTCCCTATGTGCCATATGTACAGACAAACTTAACTGTACAACCACAATCTACGTTGTGTTTGTTTGCCATGCCCAAGAAACATCAAGTGAACTTTCAGCGGTATGGACAGTGCATCTAAGCAACCGATAGACAAAAAGGACAAGTTTGTGGTCCATTTTAGAAAGGTTCTTGATCAGAAATGGGGCGAAAAGTGGTTTGAGCTGAAAGTTGTTCTCTCCAAGCAATTCAGTTTCAACAGGAGCTTCATGGATCAGGCAGAAGTGGAGTCCTCTGCGAGATAGCCTTTTCTACGAGGCAATCTCTCCTGAAGCGATGGGTTCCCGTCCCCCACAGGATCTTAACCATCACACCTGCAGGATATGTCCTGGAAGTCCATTATGTCGGCAGAGTGGAGACGAATGGTGACTGAGAAGCCATAGGTAGGAAAACCTGTAATCGGTTGTTTGCGTTTGCCCAACATTTTGTCCACCTCTGTTCTCAAGGATTCCAATATGAAGAGGGTGGTTTGGCATAGTTTGTCACCAATTTCTCGATGTCATCTGTCCCTGTCGATCACTCATCACCCCTTCGGAGCAATCTGGATGGAATTACTCCCCCCTCACTTGTTTGGCGTGGTGTCCGATGGCGTACATGCACATGTGGCGCCCGTGGCAAGCGGCTGGGTTATCTGAGACCTAATTGGATGGCGCGGTTAGCCGACCAGCCAATAAAATGATAGCTTACACTGATCGCAGATAAGTCAGCCACACAGCTAGGTAAAGTGATCCGTGTCGCCGGCGTGCGTCCGTGTATGCACCGTGCGCATGTATGTGCGTACGCGTGAGTGTGGGTTGGCAATTTGTTCGCGCTGTGATATCAGCAGGACACGAGAAGTTTGCGTGTGCGTCATTTCAGGCCAACACAGTGCATGTTGACGGAGCTGCGTAACCGGGCTTGACCAGTCGCGGACAGTGACATCGCAAAGCAGCTTCCACACGGCTGCGAACACCTTTATGTCACAGTCCACCGAACCCCAATCCACTCGGTAGAATGGAGTCTCCGTCGAACTCAGCGGGTCAGATAATGATCACCAAAGATAACTTAACCAGTCCATACCAAAGAAACTTGTCAACATCTTCCTCATCTTCGATTCTCGTTCACGTACTTCGATGTTGTGAATGTGGTTTCGAAACCATTGTCCGCGATCGATTTGATACACACAATCCCTGTGCGAACACGATTGACTCATTTCGATTGTATACCTGTTCGCGTTGTGGGGCTTGTTCTACTTCGCAGACGCTGATGAACGAACACGGCGACTTGTGTCATCCGGAGCAAACGGTAAGTGATTGTTAGTCAGAAATATGGTTATGGTGTGCTCGTTTTTGTAAATGGAATTCTTTAGTATTAGCGGATCTCAGAATCTCATTACGATTGTTACGAATACAAGGTGATACCAGCAAAATAAACAATATGCCCCTCCATTATTACAGGTTCCTTGCACAGCTGGTATACAGTGATTAACTTGCAACCTCCCCCGTGGGAGTTGTGGTTATAATTCCGTTATTAAAAGTGAGGAGGCCTGTAGCCGAAATGGACTGGAAACTTCAAAGTAGCTCTAACCTACGACGACTGATGAGCAGATGGATTTTTGTCGAGCCCAGGTGGTAATGAAAGGGTGGCCACATGGTCACAACTATCGTCTGGGCAAAAGTTCACTTCAAGTAATTGCGCCATGTTAGCTCAAAAGTTTTTATCACGCTCACAAAAGCCTGGTAGTCTCTGTTGGAGGGAGTCTTATTGATCATAGGCATAAGCTTCAGGGCGTGGATATTTGACCAATCACATAAGATGGATGTTTCAAACATGCTTTCTTCCGCCCCGTATGTTCTATCACAAAAAGGTGACTTATGGAGTACATGGTGATTTTACGTGGTATTACCAGTTACTACGCTCGACTGTTCGGTTTTCGAGAGTACCGTTGTTCCTGTGGATTTTGTGATACTCACCGAATATGGTTTTTTTTTCTGCGTGCCCAGTTGATGGCCTCATAATGACCAGCACACCCAAACGTCCAACGGGTCGATCTAATCGACCAGACAAATAGGGCCGAAGTATATGAACAACAACAGACAATATTGATGAAAACGATCTGATGCTAGCTGTCCACATACTTGGAACTGCTCATCAACCAAGCTGGTAAACTGGGTGCTACAGGTGAGGAGGCGTGTGTAAACGTGTGGTACGAACGTCCTAACTCGCGGAAAGTAACCCACATGTACAATGAACTGTAGACACTACTCAAGTGGCCAGCGGAGGGGGGTTGATATACACAATTAGCGGACGCTACTTTATATGAATTTAGACAGGTTTCGGGGACTTGGTGAGTCGGAATTATCATCCTAATCTTTGCTGTATCCATTCTGGACGCCACAATGACCAAGGGGGTGGGTGTGAATCCACTGGGATACCAGTTTATCGGTATTTTCCTCAGTATACAGAAGAGTGGATTTTGGTGGACTAATTAATGGATGGCGATCAGTATGCAGTATCAAGCCACTGTCACTGACACAAATAAACCAAATGATGTCTTATCAGGCTAAGCCATTCAGCGGTAGAATAACGGCACTGCTAGCTGAGGTCCTATTCTCAGGAGCTTCAGAGGAACAAAATTTGCCCAACGGTATCGGTTCAAACTATGTAAATTCATCAACTCAGGGTGGCGGATGGGTTGTCGACCTTTGGAAGACGAGCTATCAACTTCTCCACGCCAACACTGGGCGTTCCGTGTGCATCGTTTGAACCATACCGTTTTCGTGGTGACTGTGGACAGCTTAACCGATACTGAGTTTGTTGTTTGCAAAAGTCTCAACCCCAAAGTTAGTGGAGGAATGAAGTACTACTACTACTTTCGAGAAATACACTCATTTGCAAATCAATTTGGTTTTCACGAAAGACTCAACTGAATCTCTCGATTATGATATTCTACAACTGAATGTGCTGCACACAGGCCGCCTCATGATTCAGTTGGCACGATATTCGAGATATCGCAGTATAAGCATAAGGTTGACGGAAGCTCGGGGACTGCGCCTACCTGATGAGCCCTAAGAAGAGCGAAACCGGTCGTGGGCTGTTGAAGAGTTTTCAGCAATCTTGTGAGTAGTTTCCTTTATAAAAATACTACTACTACTATTCATTTTCCCAACACATGGTTTTAGTTTTGACCAGTCGTCTGAAGTTTTCTATTTGGGTTTGTCAGTTCTACTGCGAGCGTGCACTATCGACTGACTCTGAAGCTTCACAACTTGAGACACGCCACATTATTTTCGTCCAATAGCGTGTTCCCGATTACAGCCACCCTACAAACAGTCCGTCCCAAATTTTCCTTGTCCATCTTTATTTTCGTTTCATTCGGTGAACACTGCATCACTGAAGAGTATTGTTGGGGTGGTAGGACTATCCCACACCGGGGGGCGGGTGGGTAGACATGCAGAGATTCATTTGTCAATGTAGCTATAACGGATGGTGGACAGTCGATTTTCTGGGATTGTTTGCTTTTATCCGTCGATTTTTTCTTCTAGTCATACAAACCGAAGCATGATTTGTTCTTGCTATGAAACCAGAAAGTCTTCGGAAGCAAAATAAGCGAATTGCAGATAGAATGGGCGGGCATGCAGTTTGATTAGTGAGAAAATAATCTGGGCAATAGGTATGCGGCAAAGTGAGAGTGCAGTCAGTGGGTGCAAGACGTGGTCCCGAGCAGTTTTGAGTGATTTCAGACAAAAGTTTGCGCTAGTAGATTCGGTCCTTGTTTAGAGTAGATGAGAACTGAGAATATCACTATCTCAGTTCTGAGGGATGCTTGATGCTCATTCGAATCAGCTTATGATAATACTTAGTTATCACTTCAGTCATATTTGTCCAGCTGAACGCTATAGAACCTAATGAGTAAACGAAGTAGTGAAATGCTTAGTTGGATCTAAAAAAACATCCAAAGAACTCGTTTTTTTTAGCAAAAATGCATGGCACTCTGCGGTGTATCGCTGAAACTACTGTTGAACTTGGGAACTTAACTTCGATAGTATATCAGGTGGAATGGCGACCCGAATAGTAGATGTTTTTGGATGCCGCGCGTTTATGTCAGGCTTTCAGTCTCAATTGCCACTTTATCGGAACCGTCTGATGTTGAGACGGCAGTCAGCTCTCAGACGGGGGGGGGGGTTCTGTGGGAACTTGCAAGCTAACGTTCCTAGGTGCGTTGCTGTTTCCTTTGGTGGAATAACATCAACACAGACATGGGCGTTTTCACGGACTTTGCGGTAAGCTGGTTAGTCTATGTGGTCAGTTGAATTCATAGACAGATTCGCTCGGCGAGCACACTGGGACGAATTTCCGTTAGTGTGTCATTTCCTGGTCTCATCGGCCTTACCTTTAGGTCGCACCTGTCGTATCTTTGGGATCTGTTTTGGGCTATTCGGGATAATGAGCAGTTTGGATGCATGAATTGGAAAGAATAGATTATGTACATATGCTCCACTTTTACAAAACTACCCATCTACCTTTCCTGCACAGCTTCAGAAAGATTTCGAGTGAAAGAAATGGTCGCTATAGGAATTGAATGTTATTTAGAATAGGTCATCGTAGGGGAATGCGGAGTGCAGCACCAAGGCCGTTTTCACAGCGATGCATATTGGTGAATCAGACTTTATGTAATGTCAAGTCTCTTCATATCTGTCAGTTTACTTCCCAACCTCCACTTTTTGAAGACTTTCACTAACTTCCAAAGTGAGTGCTTTCTTGTCTCGTGCTTTCAGTGCGAATGCTTCTCCATGTGCCATACGGTACAGAGAATATCAGTAAGTCCGGAGGCCAGGTTGCAAATTCATAGATGATTTGATCAGGCTGTTGCCGAATAATATTTATGGGCTATGCCAATAGTGACACAATGGCGCCCTGTGATATCGATTGTCAATAAAGGTGAATCCGGTCTGTATAGATCTGTGTTGTCAAACTGGTTCGGTCTAAATATCCTTCTCCCATGATAGAAAAGTCGAATACGTAGTATCCCGAATGTGACTACCCAACTAAACACCTTGCACCGTGACTAAATAAGTCAAAATGCACATTCATTTCGCGGATTCTTTACAGCATAAGAGAACATGCCAAAAGCGAGATTTTGTGTTGAGTGACCTACCCAAATGCGCAGATCAAACTGTAGTGGTTCCCCTATTTTGGTCCCATTGCTGACATAATCGTTGTCTCGATTTTTGGTTTTACGTAGGATAGTACATTTTTCATCTGACCGAATTCGGCTGTTTTGTCATGAAAGAGTAAACTGTCGTTTATGCATACACGTTAGTCTTTCATTCACAATCCACCCATGTACCCCCAGAACGCATCAGTTTCAAACTAAGCTTTTGGAGTCAAAAGTCCCGCCCTGGACGCTGATCAGTGTTTTTTACACTGAGGACGGCAGTAACATGGGCTCAAGTCTTCGGATTTGAAGATGAACGTATTTTGAATTAGAAGAGGGTCGTAGCTGTTGAGAGAATTTGGGCAGAAAAGCATTCAGAGGGGACCGTTCTAAAGGGAGTTGTTAGGTGGGGGGTCTCACGTTGATAATCGGTATTCCTTCCCACTTCTTAGCCTCCACTAAATACAACTCATTGTAGTGCGTTCAAGCTTGAGTAGTGCAAGTGAAATAAGGGAAAGGAGGATGGTTTCTCAATAGTTCCTCACAAATGACTAAGGGGAAATGGTTGAATTTTAAACCGCCTGCTCGATTAACACATAACCAATGGATACATGGTCGACAACTCTCGTATCGCTTCGAGCAACCAGCCCACTACCAGCATCCTCTAGAATATTCTACATACATATCTCTGAGTATTCCTATCTAACTATGATCCAATTTTTGTGCTGAGAATAGCGGGACTAGTTTGGACAGTCTACTGGTTTGGAACAAATCAGTTGAAGACATAGGATAAGGAGTATACAGTCACTGTAAAGCTGTTATCGAACTACAATGTAATAAGCAGTTCTGCGCCTGGTCTGGGGTTCGAGCCTGACCACAAACGACACTGACACCTTGCCGTTTGTTCACTTAACCGAACTGAAAGAAAGTGTCGGAAATTCAGTTGCCTTGACTGATTAAAAACCAGATCTTTGCTGAATCTCATTTCAGTCTGTACAACCACAAACTGCGTTGTGGTTGTTTGCCATGCCAAAGAAACTTCAACTGAACTTGCAGTGATTTCCGTTATGGATAATGTATCTAAGCAACCATTAGACAAATAGAACAAATTTGTGGTCTCTTTTAGAAGGTTTCTTGAGCAGAAATG